AAAATAACATTTCAATCAATGAGGATGCTAAGACTGGGGAAGTATCAGTGCCAGGCGCTACAGTAGTTAACATTCAAGATTTAGACCATTTCTTGCAGGTTTTGCAAGTCGGTGAGACAAACCGTCATGCAGCAAATACAAAGATGAATACAGAATCCTCACGTAGTCATGCCATTCTTACGGTGTGCTTCCTTAGAATATCTTGTCTATATGGTTTCTTGTTCATCGACAGAATCCATGTCTTGTATCTGCCGAGTAATGAAATGTATCTTGTGTTCAGGTTTATGTTAGGCGGGCTATGAATGAAAAGTCTGAAAAGGCAAAACCAGAATCATTGGGAGATAAAGCCATTCCTAGAGTTAGAAAGAGCAAACTTCTAATTGTTGATCTTGCTGGTTCAGAAAGAATAAATAAATCTGGTTTGAACTCCTTAACTGTTCATATAACCATTCATGTTATATTAAGTAGTTCATGGTGAGTTATATCCTGTTTTTCTGAAGGCACTGATGGCCACATGATTGAGGAGGCAAAATTCATCAATCTTTCACTGACATCCCTGGGAAAATGCATAAATGCGTTAGCTGAAGGCAGTTCTCATATACCAACAAGAGATTCTAAGCTAACAAGGCTTCTTCGTGATTCTTTTGGGGGTTAGTTTACCAAAAAAATTCCTAGCCTATCTAGATATAGGACTCATAAGCGTGGCTTACTTCTGTGTCTATTCATTTTGTCATATCTTCCTAGTTACTCTTGTGTTGTTACATAAACTCTGAAGTGGGCTTTTGTCTCTCAACAACCAGGTTCTGCGAGGACTTCACTTATAATAACAATTGGGCCATCTGCACGGTATCATGCAGAAACCACTAGCACAATAATGTTTGGACAAAGGGTGAGTTTTTATGTTTCTCTTATCTCGTTCTCTGTAGAATCTCTAGTTTCTGACATCTAAGGAAGCTCATAAACGAGAAAGACACTAGATTTTACTATTTACCAATCTTCTATCTTTCAAAATATATATAGTAATATGCCTTCTTGGTCATGTCTTCCTTTACAGGCAATGAAAATAGTAAACATGGTCAAGCTTAAAGAAGAATTTGATTATGAGAGTTTGTGTCGGAAGCTTGAGACTCAGGTGGACCATCTTACTGCAGAAGTTGAAAGACAAAACAAACTAAGAAATAGTGAAAAACTTGAGTTAGAAAAAAGATTGAGAGAATGTGAAAACTCCTTCGCTGAAGCAGAAAAGAATGCGGTTACAAGGTCCAAGGTATTTTTGTCTCTTCTAAAGATCAGCTACTCTTCGTTTACTCGCAGTAATTGATATTCAACTAGTTTCTAGTTTCTTGATATGGTGCGTATTTTTCTATGATATGACTTACAGTTCCTGGAGAAGGAAAACACCCGCTTGGAGCTCAGCATGAAAGAACTTTTGAAGGAATTACAACTGCAGAAAGATCAGTGTGATCTAATGCATGACAAAGCCATACAATTAGAGATGAAACTGAAAAATACCAAGGTGCACTTTCTCTCATGTATTGTTAGTAGTTTTTTCGGTAACTACTTCAGTATATTGTTAGATCAATACTTCTCTCTTATTGTCTTTATTAACTACTTACAGAAGTTCTTGAATGTTTTCTTAAAGGCCTGGCATCAAATACATATACATAAATATGTTTGAGCTGTGTATAGTAGATGGCTCTGACAGTGTCCTTTTAATTGTTAGTAGCAGCAACAGCTGGAAAATTCAGCGTATGAGGCAAAACTTGCAGATGCCAGTCAAGTATATGAGAAAAAAATTGCTGAATTGGTTCAGCGGGTTGAGGATGAACAAGCCCGGTCAACAAACGCCGAGCATCAATTGAATGAAATGAAAAATATTTTGAGTAAACAGCAGAAGTCTATTCATGTTAGTTACTATGATACCTATTTTTGTTAAAGCTTAGGCTTTCTTTTTCTACCTCTTAGGTGCATATTTCTCTGTTTAAACTAAATGGTACTTTTGGTGGTTATAGGAACAAGAGATGGGCAACTATCAATATCAAAGGGAACTTGCGGAAACCACTTACACATATGAATCTAAAATTGCAGAGCTGCAGAAGAAATTAGAAGATGAAAATGCTCGGTCTAACGCTGCAGAAGAGCAACTTAGACAAATGAAAAGACTTATAAGCGATCGCCAAGTTATATCACAGGTTAGGCTTGTTCATGATTTTCTTAAAACTGGATCCCAATAAGCAGATGATACTTTCAGCTGAGGTGAAAAAGTGTCAATGTATTTGTCCTTTCAATATTGTAGATGAATTTTTTTCCCACTATTGTTATAAAAATTATATTTTGTGCTTCAGCTCTTGCAGAATTTTCTGTCCCCAATTTTTTCTTGGTTTTGTGTTCAGGAAAATGAAGAGGCAAACGAACTCAAGATAAAATTAGAAGAACTTTCACAAATGTATGAATCGACAGTAGATGAACTCCAGACAATGAAATTAGACTATGATGACCTGCTCCACCAAAAGGTGTGACGCTTAAATGGCTGCTTACTTGTTGTTCAGATTGGTCATATTCAAAATCCAACTGTTAATTTTTTGCTAATGAATATATGTCTAAATGTACATAAAATTTGTGTTGCATAGGAAAAACTTGGTGAAGAGGTTCGAGATGTGAAGGAAAGGCTCCTTTTGGAAGAAAAGCAGCGAAAGCAAATGGAGAGTGAGCTTTCGAAACTAAAGAAGAATCTAAGGGAAAGTGAAAATGTTGTTGAGGTGAATTACAATGAGCTTGTTTCACTTTTTCACATGTATTGTACTTCATGGCCTTGCTAAGTCAATTTCATTCCACAGGAAAAGCGATATATGAAGGACGATCTTTCAAAAGGATCATCAGAATCTGGAGCTCAAACTGGCTCACAGAGATCACAGGGGTTAAAAAAGTCGTTATCTGGTCAGAGAGCTACCATGGCGAGACTTTGTGAAGAAGGTAGAAATTTTTCTCATGGATTGAGCTCTTTTCGCTTAGACATTCTTCTATTTCGTTTTATCGTGGGAGAATCCAATTGACACCTTCTCTATTTCGGTTTTAGTCGGAATTCAGAAGATCTTACAACTCATTAAGTCTGAAGACTTGGAAGTTCAAATTCAAGCAGTAAAAGTGGTTGCTAATCTAGCCGCTGAAGGTGCAGTTTCATATCTCTCTATTAACATTTGTAAATATTCTCAAATTTTCACTACAGATGAATTATCAGTTGTTGAAATACCGATTTCTGCTACACTGGCGCTTTGCCTAGAAACGGGTTCTAAGTTCATGCAGTTAATGTTGTTGAAGTCATCTTTAGTTTCCAAAAATTATGGTATAACAATACATTACTTTGTTTTCACATCACCTCAATGACTTGCATAATGTGTGTGTATGTGTAGAGGCTAATCAGGTAAAGATTGTGGAGGAAGGGGGTGTAGAAGCTTTGCTTATGCTAGTCCAGTCATCTCAGAATTCAACGATTCTCAGGGTGGCTTCTGGTGCAATTGCTAATTTAGCAATGAATGGTGAGCACTTCTCTTGGTGGTCCAATTCCTTATATGATATCTTAAACCCGTTAAACTTACTACTGAGAAGCAGAACTAATTCAGAATTTAAACTTACCATTGTGTCATTTCTTTACAATGCTTGTTTGCTTGAATGTTGGACCTGTAAGATGCAGTAGACGGTTCCATGGTTTTCCCTGCTGTCAAGTTATTAAATTTTGGAATGGAAAAAATGTGATTTGTTTGTTTATATGTTTTAATTAATCAACCGCAGAGAAGAGTCAAGATCTTATAATGAACAAAGGAGGTGCTCAACTCCTAGCAAAAATGGTGACTAAAACAGACGACCCACAGACTCTAAGAATGGTAGCTGGTGCACTTGCCAATTTATGCGGGAACGGTGAGCATAAGATTAAGAATTTTGGTTCTGATTACTTGTATCAGACAATTTTTAAACATATCTATTAATCTGCATCAATGCATGCGTTCACTGTACAGCTTATGTAAAGATATATTAAAGAAGCTTTGTGTTGGGACGCTGCTAAGTACATATCTAACTCTATATACTTTGTGTTTTTGCACAAACAGAGAAGTTTCTTAAGCTGCTGAAAGAAGAAGAAGGCATCAAGGGACTACTCACGATGGCACAATCTGGAAACATAGATATCATTGCTCAAGTGGCAAGAGGGATGGCAAATTTTGCAAAGTGTGAAACTCGAGAAATTATGCAAGGTGTGTAGTCATATTAGCTTACAAATATATACTCATAAATTGCACACCCGATTCAATCGCTATAATACCTTGAGAGATATTATTGTATTGCAGGGCGTAGAAAAGGTCGTTCCCTTCTCTTGGAAGAGGGTGCTCTTGAATGGTTGACTTCAAACTCACATATTGATTCAGCATCAACACAACGTCACATCGAGCTTGCACTTTGCCATTTAGCTCAAAATGGTAAGCCACACTTTGTCATTCTGCTATCTAGAAGAGCATGCCCAGCTGTTTGGAGATACTAAGCAGTTCTTTTATTAAAATTTTGTGCGGTTGGGAAATATGAATCATATGTGTATCTCCTTCTCGATGCAGAGGAAAATGCAAATGATTTCAGAAGAACAGGAAGCGTGACAGAGATTGTAAGAATATCTGTGGAGTCGAGTAGAGATGATATTCGCAGTTTAGCAAAGAAGATACTCAAAACAAACCCTTACTTCTCAAGCTGAACAAGAGGTGAAAGAAAAGACATGTACATAACATAACTGGCGGGTGACACAGATTCTTAGCTGATTCTACAAGCATGTCATTAGATTGACTTTGTGATTAGCGACGACAGTCAAGGAGAGAAAAGCAAAGATTTTTACAAGAAATGAGTGTTAGGAGATTATGTGCTGTGATAACTTGTTTGATGTAGTATATTGTCTCTGTTTCGATATGTTAGATTGATGTTGAGAAACATGGAATACATGGTCAAACTCAAGTCTCCTTGTATTTTGATGTAAGGTGATCAAAATCTTATTTGGAATCCATTTTGTAATTCTTGTTCCTTCCCATTTTAACAAATCATATAAATGTTAAAGATGGAGTATGTGAGTGGTCAGTCTTTTTCTCAAGATACAGTATATGGATATAACAAATAGATAGTTCATCATATCTGTAGATGTTTTCACAACTCCTAAAGATTTAACTTCATACCATAATTGAATCTGTCCTTTGTTCTTTGTCAATCTAGTTCGTGGCATTGTTAGATTCTTCTAATCGTAAAGGCCTTCATCGTACCAAATATCGACCAGAAAGTCCACCATCTCCTACATAAAGATCAGATGGGAAATTCAGGTATTGAGAATGATATTAGCTTAACTCAGGTAAAAAAATGGGATCAGATTAAAGCTTACGGGTAAAGGAATCGACTCCGAGAAAGGTTCATGAGTTGAGAGAAGATCTTCATATGTAGTAGACCAGCTGCAAGAGATTCAAGAACATCTTAGAAAACATTACTTTTTTCTGATCATTAGAGCATCATTTTTCTGATTCTTTGGCACTGCAAAAAGATTGTCAAATGAACTTAGAGTTGGATGAAACAAATAATACCTTATAATCTGATCCTTTGCAGTGTTTTTTCTTTGTCGAGATTGATCTCCCACCCATTTTTCCCTGTTCTCTTGCCACATCTTTGCACCTGTAATCAAGAAAGATGCTTATAGATAGTGCTCAAGAACATCAAATATCAAATTACAGAACGAACAAGTTAGAATATCCGGTGGTTTCACCCAAAAACAGAGGTAAGGTAACACAATTTGGCAATGAAAAGAAACAGACATCTTCTTAAGCTGAAGTGTGGAATGTACCATGATTAACAAGTGTAAGGGTGTTTTCGCTGTTCGTTTTCACCGAGCTTTTCTCTTCTTTGACTAATTTTGAAAGCTCAAGAGTAGGTTTGTTTTCGGTGGACAGACAATTTGCAGTATAAAGCTCCATTCTTATTCGATCGAATGATCATTCCTTTTCGAATAAACCCGATTTATACCAATTCACATCCACATACAAAACATCAAAGGTTTCCACAAAAGCTGCTAAAGAAACAACAATAAACCAATTAAAACCCATTTCTAAAAGCATGAAAACTGTTACAAGAAACGGTTGGTAATTTACCTCATTGACAATTTCATCAACCAGCTTGTGGAAAACCCTAGAGGATTCAAGAAAACAAAACATACCAGATTTCTCAGAAAACAACACATTATGAACGAAAGATCCAAACCATATACACCAACCAAACTCATTTCAAAAGAAAAAAGATATTTTCCTTTTTCAACACATTGTGTTTAAATTCATTAACAAATCTTCATCTATAAGGCAACAAAACAGAGATTTTTAAATCACAGAACTTGTTTTATCTCCTTAAAAAAGATATTGGAATTGAAACAATGGCATTTCCGGTGAAGTGTATATATTTAAAGATCCAAAATAAACAGATCAGAAGCATTCAAGATCCAAAAAAAATTCTAAGGAGAAACCAAACTTCATGATAGAAAGAGAAAGTTTGCTACATAAGAAAAATAGAGGATAGAGGAATGATTACCTTAATGGGGAAAGTATCAGCAGAAAATTTGGTGGAGGGATTGAAACTGCTTTATATGTTTTCTTTTAGGTTTTATATGTAAAAGAAAATTTTAGATCTTGAGTAGTCAATGAAAAATCAACTAAAAATAAAATGTTAAAAAGAAATAATTGTGAGCCAAATATAGAATTTAAAAATTAATTAAAGGGGTTTACTTGTAGTTGGTAATGAGTAAATAATGTATATACCTACTAAAATACAGATCTATCTTTGGGTCAATGAGACAGAAAAAAATTAAGCATGCCCCACGCAGCTCAAGTTTCTATCTCAATCTTACGTGGATGTGATTAGGAAGATAGCTCCATTCTTTATTATATTGTCACATGTTATTTGAAATATAAAATAATATTATTTGAAATCCTGATAAATTCAGATTTGATTAATTGATTTGAAAACTCACCTAATAATAGAATTATAATCCATATATGAATTTAAATCTTTAAACATTAATGTGGTATTGATTTTTTTTATTCCAAATTCTAGATATAATTTAAGCATTTAATGTCAAAGATGTTATTTTCTAGAATATGTTCTCATTTGAAGTTTATGGTTTAAAAAGTAACAAAGTAATATATTTTGTAGCTGAAGATTAGTATGCAAAAGAACAAAAGATAAATTTAGTAGAACAAATGTGATAAGAGAGAAATCAAACCTTGTTTCAAAAAAATATCCTTAACTAGAAAATTGAGGGGAAAAAAATTAACAGGATTTTTTTGTTCAATATGAAAATAAATGTAAAAGGTAAAAATGAGGGGAAAAAAGATGAATAGAAAATATTCATTAAAAGTTAAAACTCAAATGTATGTTAGGTAAAATGCATGTATCTTCTGTGGTTCAGTAACCATTTATCTAAGTTGATAACTTGATATAAACAAATAGCATATTTGCATAGAGTTGAGAAATCTAACATAGTCATGAGCTAACAATGTTTCTTCTGGTCTGGAGTTTATAGCATGTGAATGTGATTGTTGAGAAATCTAACAAAAGTCATGAGCTTAAAATGTTTCTTTTGTAAGAAGGATAAGATTTACTATGTTACAAATTAACCTTATTTGGGTTCAAAAGGTTTCATCACTTAGAATTCATGCTCACACGAGCAAATCGATCACCAAGACAAAATACAGGTTTTCACAAATCTGTCTTTCATTACACAGTGTTTTTGATACACATAAAGCTCATAAGGTACATATTTCTATTTTTACATTCATTAGTTGAAAGGGATAACAATATCGCCAATGTTGTTGTGCCATGGATCAGCCAAGTGAGTTGCCAGGTTCTCCAATGGTCCTGTCCCCGGGTAAGCCGACTGTTGAACACAGAATCCTACAAACGCCAACAGCGCAAGTCGCCCTGTCATACCCACCAAGAATAAACACAAACATTAGATATACATTTCTACATAAGTTGATCAAGAAAGGTGGTAAGTTTTTTTGTGTGCTTACCGTTCTTGATCTCCTTAACTTTCAATTCCTCGAGCTTCTTGGGGTCCTTTGAGTATCCAAGAGGGTCAAATGCGCCTCCCGGGTACTTCTTCTTCTCGGGGTCTTTCTCCATACTTCTCTGGTGCTCAACGAATGCAATGGCTAAGAACTCAATGGCCAAGATTGTGGGCAAAGTACCCCACGGGACCGGGTTTCCCAAGTACGTGGCTTGACCCCCTGGTACTGCTGCCCATTCCTGAGCCTTAACCCAGTTTCCATATCCTAATGCTTCTGGTACCAAAATCCCAGGCTACACCATCACAAACCAATTCCATGAGAATAAACTTAACAAGACTAAACCCTTATGATAAGACAAAGATTGGATACTGAAACTTACAACAGCGAGCATAGCCCATCTACAGTGGATGAGCTCTGACTCTTTGTATCTCTCAAGGTTCTCTGGAACTTCTCCAAGTCCAAGTGGGTCAAATCCAAAGTCACTGCACAATGTTGAACCCAATAACTTATGTCATCAAAAGAGTTTCCAATACATTTATCTAGAATCTCTTGATACATATCTAAAGGGAGTTATAAATTCTGAAAGGAGATGACTTTCTAAAATATGAATAACCCAATAACATAAAAAATTGAATCTTTTAAAAAGCTTCCAATGTTGCATGCATCAAAATCATCATGTCATCAAAACAGAGTAATCTAACAATATAACAATTCTGATTTTTAATTGAGCAACAAAACAGAGTAATAGGATTCGAAGCGTACCCAGGAGCAGAACCGTCGAGGTAAGCTGGTCGTGGCTCGCCGGGCATCCAGTGAGCAGCCATTCTGATACGACCAACATTCCCGGCGTTAGGGAGCGGAACTCCGGCGGAAACGAATTTAGACTTGGAAGAAGAGAGAAGCGAAGGGTAAACGGCGGCGATGCCGCAGCTCATTAGCGAGTTCGACGCCATCGTTTCTCTCTATCTGTCGATGTGGACGAGAGGTGTTTGGTGGAAGTGTGAATGTGGGAGACGGATCGTATAAGTAAGATTTGTGAGATGAGAATCTAAAATCAGATTGCAATTGGCTATACAGAGCCTGCGTGGCTTTTTCATTGGGCCACGTGTCTTCTCTATATCATGTTTCTTCTCTTCGATATCCCATCTGCACTGTGTGGTTCAGATAAATGCAGAATCTACGTAAATTACAATTTTGCCATTTATCCACGGCAAAGAGATACTATCAGATAAGTCTTCCAGTTCGGTGAAAAACATTTCTACAATGTTATAAACCTGACCGGACCGGTAAATCTGTGACAGGTTACGAATCCGGTCCGGATTTTTGCCATCAAAAGACAATGTGAATCTTAGAAGACTCTTGATGAGTGATGACTGCGGTAAGTTTCCAGTGATCTGGGCATTTGTTTCAAGAGTGCCAGCAACTTTGCAGATACAATGTACCATTGAATGTTCAGAATCTATTTTCTTTAAATTGTTTCTCATTCAGACCCATCTCTAGGATGAATACAACAACAACCCATGACTTCATGTCTCTAGTCAGAAACAAACATAGATTTTGATTCTCAGATAATTCTACTACCACTACTTCGTCACACATAAACATTTCAACAAACAACACAAATTTGCAGGCTAACACATATGACACAAAGTTACCATTTTTAAATGAAAACTCAGATTTAACGCACATCCAATTGTTCTATACCTAAATCCATCATACAAGATATGTCTCTTAATGTTACAACCACAAACTCTGAAACATCAAAATGACATTTTTTTCGAGGTGATGATAGATATATAAGATCAAATTCCATCATTACAAATCCAGGTATTGAATCAGAATCAAGAGCACATAGCTTTCTCCACCTCTTCCTGCAATTCTCCACTCTTAAACGCCTCAAGAGTAATATCACAACCACCGAAAAACTCACCGCCGATATAAAGCTGAGGAAACGTCGGCCAATTCGAGTACTCTTTAAGTCCTTGCCTCAACATCTCATTCTCCAGAATATTCACATCTTCGAAAGGAACATTCAAATTCTTCAAGATCTGAACCACAGTGTTGGAGAATCCACACATCGGGAAATCTCTCGTTCCTTTCATGAACAGAACCACTTTCTCCGAATTCACCAGTTTCTCCAGCGTATCTTTAAGTTGCGGCGTAAGCGCCGACGCAGAGCATCGGAATTTTGTTGGTTTGAGCTTGAGACCGTAGAACGATGGCTGACGGTTGTGAACGGCGAGTGCCGCCGTTGGTTTAAGAGAGAATCTGATAGATTGAGGCTTGTTGATAACGGAGGAGGAGACGACGGTGACCGGAGTTATCAAGGTCGGCGTTTTGACAGATCGGAGAGCCATTTTCTCGGGAGGTTTTTTTATGATTTGGAATTTGACTAATTGAAAAGGTAAATGATTTATGAGCCACAAACACTTATTAGTGCGAGTGAGAATGGAACAAACCCTGTTGTCAAACACCACCACTAAGGCGGTAGTGCATGTCATAATCATTGGTTTTAAAAAAAAATTAAGAACATTCCGGTTCGGTTTGGTCCGACTTTTTTGGATTTCGGTATTTTAGATATTTCCACTTGGATCAAATTATGATTTCGGTTTAATAATATTAGAGAAATTATCAGGGCATCAAATGCTTTTCTCAGTTTCTGTTCTCTTTTCTTCATTCACAAGGTATATACCTCTATACAGCTAGATACCCCCATAAACTATTAAAACTTATCATATAACTTAGCTCCAATCAACATAAGTTGGTTTTTGGTGGACAACTGTATAAACATAGAAAAAAGTTTGTTGTCGATAACAAGTTTTCAGAGTTGATGCCAAACCAAACCATACGAATCGGGGCACATAGATGAAGTGATGAACAAGCCCAATTTTAATGATCAAATACTCAATCAAACATGAGTTGGCAACTGGTTGAAGCTCTAGAAGAAAGTGCCACTCCTTTATCATCTCAAATTTTGGAACATCCCATTCCAATGACGTGATTGTTGTAGTCTTTAAGTGAACAGCATTCTTCAAAATATAAACTGCAAGATCTCTCTCTTCTGGTGTTCCTGCGTAATCCGACCAGTTGAGAGTTTTACACTCAACAATATACATTCAGGAACAGTACTTGGTTGATTCCAGTAAACCATGCCATTTTTCTCATGATACTGAGATCAAACAGAAGAATTAGACTAAAATCAGACAAGAAAAAAGAGTTTTACGAACAAACTTACATCCATTTCGAAAAGGTCTAGTCCTTGTAAGTTAGAAGAGTCTTTGAGCAGTCGGACAAGTAAATCCGAAGAATGCTTTTTGCATCTACATAGCTTCAGATGTTTAAGCTGGTTGAAGACAAAACCTTCATCATACATAGCCTGCGCATAAATATTGAAATTATAAACACCAAGGATAATATAAATGAGTTGGTAAATGGAAAATGATAACCTCTGAACATATTGCAAGGCTCTTGACGGATGTGATTGATCCAATTAGACTCTTGATATTAGGTATTTCAACAGCTACATATGCCTCGATCAGATTAGGCATATTCTCAACCAAATAGAAGTGACTCTTATCATTATCATCTTTAAGGTTAAAATACTTTAAAGAAGGAGTTTCTATCACAATCCCATCTATATCATAACAATAAGGTATAAAGAGTGATAAACTCTGCAAAGATGGGACAACAACAGTTAGCTTTCCCATTCTGTCATCCTCAAGTAGATAAACCGATAGATCTTCAAGAACAGGGCAATTAGATAGAAGCCGTTGAAGAGATTCATCATTGAAGTAATTCACACTTTGAAGTTGCAAAGTTTTCAGAGAGGGAAGAAAAGCCATTCGAGGAACATCCAAGAGAATCTCGCCATTGAGTTTCAAGATCACGAGCGATTTGCAGGTATGCAAGTTACTCGGCAATATGTTTGGCTTCTCCGGAAATGAAAAATAAATAATCTCCAGCTCACGTACGCAGTGTGAAACTGCTATAACCACCCACAGCTTGATACTCTCAGATTCAAGATTTGTACTACTTAAGACAAGACGGAAGCTTTCAATAACCGGAGCTCTATGTAATGGCAGATTTTTGTCAAGAAAACACTGTAACCTCATGCATTCAGAAGGTAAATCATATCTACTACGGTACTCAAGTTTAGGCAACCACATCCAAAGATACTCCCATCGTTTCGACAATAAGCTAGTGGATACAGCAACTTTGGTCGGAACAAACATTAATATCTTAATAAGCACTTCATCTGATAACCCACTGATTCTGTCCATATCTTTAGAAAAAAAAACCCAAGTTACTATTGTTACCGCCGACAGAACTTCCGACCCTAATAAGAAGAAGATAACATCTTTAAGGCTCAAAAAGCTAAAAAAAAAAAAGGCAATTATAGTAACAAGTGAAAACTCGGACACAAAGAGGAACAGTACTAAACCTTAGAAACAAGCTAAACTGTTAGGTGGTGCTGTGAAATTTTCAGTTTGGAGGCTCGGGAACCAGAATCTGAAGCTAAGGCAGAAAGTGGCCAAAGAACTGTATACCCTTTTCAATTCTGAGTAGTCTGAACTAGGAATCGAGAAACGGTAAATGTAAATGAAGCAACCGGAAGGAAAACGGAAAATGAACAAGTTGGTTTATCAGAAGATACCAGAATCGCTGAGCATCGGAATGACAAGGCTTTGTCCTCGCCGCTGATACTCACCACTGACCCACTCATCAAACCGTTCGTTCGGCTTCCATTTAATTTGGGTGTTTAATTACCATAAAATGATGGGCCGAGCTTTTATTAACACTCATCAACACGTTCGGCGTCCATTTAATTTGGGTCTCTGAGGCCCAGTATAAATACGAGCTTGTTTACCAAATTTGAGACCCAAATTTTCTAACCAATCTCCTCCAATGCAAGTGGACACAAATCCCCAAGAGAAACAGAATCAAAATCTCAAGAAAACCTATTAGCCCTGTTTCCAGCAAGAGGGCAGAGAAGCAGAGAGTGAGAGAGAGAGAGAGTGAGAGAGAGAAAGCAGCTTCTTCTTCTTCTTCTCCCTCATGTGGATTCCAAATCCTTCTCTGCTACTCTCTCTTCACATTTCTCTACCAACATTCTTCTTCTGACACTCAACACACACACTGCAACTTCCACGGCTAAATCAAGCAACACCAAGTCAAAATCCGCCATTAACGATGCTTCTTCCAAACTTCTCCAACACCATTTTCCTTCTCTGCTTCCTCTTCACACTCATCGCCGCCACAAAACCCCTAAATCTCACTCTCCCTCACCAACATCCTTCCCCTGATTCCGTCGCTCTCCATGTCATCAGGTAAACAAAAGTTCCTCCCTTCTCTCATTACACATTTTCCCAGAAGAAGAAAAAAACTCAAACTTTCTTCTTCTTCCTCCTCCAAAATTCACAGGAGTGTCAATGAATCTCTTGCAAGAAGACAACTAGGCTCGTCCTCATCATCATCATCATCATCATCCTCCTCTTGCCGTACCGGAAACCCAATCGACGATTGCTGGAAATGCAGCGACTCAGACTGGTCATCAAACCGACAAAGACTCGCCGACTGTTCAATCGGCTTCGGACACGGCACACTCGGAGGCAAAAACGGCAAGATCTACGTCGTTACAGACTCCTCCGACAACAACCCAACAAACCCAACACCAGGAACACTCCGTTACGGCGTAATCCAAGAAGAGCCACTCTGGATTGTCTTCTCTTCAAACATGCTCATCAGATTAAAACAAGAACTCATCATCAACAGCTACAAAACCTTAGACGGTCGTGGCTCAGCCGTACACATAACTGGAAACGGTTGCTTAACTCTCCAATACGTTCAACACATCATCATCCACAACCTCCATATCTACGACTGCAAACCTTCAGCTGGATTCGAAAAACGAGGTAGATCCGATGGAGATGGGATCTCGATTTTCGGATCTCAGAAGATCTGGGTCGATCATTGTTCAATGAGTCATTGCACCGACGGGCTTATTGATGCTGTGATGGGTTCTACAGCTATAACTATATCTAACAATTACTTCACGCATCACGACGAAGTGATGTTGTTGGGTCATGATGATAATTATGCTCCTGATACGGGGATGCAAGTGACGATAGCGTTTAATCATTTTGGACAAGGGCTTGTTCAGAGGATGCCTAGATGTCGGAGAGGTTATATTCATGTGGTGAATAATGATTTCACTGAGTGGAAAATGTATGCTATTGGTGGTAGTGGTAATCCCACCATTAACAGTCAAGGAAATCGTTACGCTGCTCCTTCTGATCCTAGCGCCAAAGAGGTAACCTTTTTTTTTATATATAACAAAGTTTACAAATTTTGGATTACCCATATAGAAAAATCTTTCCTTTTTTATTGTTATGTGGTGTGGAACACTTTTCTTTAGTAGCTTAACTTTTTAGGGTTTAGTATGTTTTGTGGATAGATTTTAGGCTTTTACCATAGAGAACTTTTCATTGAGTGATTGACAAATGTGTAGTTTCATTCCTTGATTTTAATTGGCTAGTAAAATGTCCTATCTCCTATGAATCCAGTTCATATTTCACATGGACAGTTGTTAATCTTTTGCTACTAGGAGAAATATCCAGTTAGAGTTTTGTGTAAATGGGAAAAAGAAGAATCTTATTTGTATGAGAATTGGGTCTACGAGGAGTGAGACAGTGATGGTATGTAATACTAGTATAGGTGCATGACAGCCATGTGGGCTGCTTCTTCTCTGTCCACACACTTTCTTTTGTTGTAGTTGGTTGAATACCACCACGCGCAATGACGGCGCGTGGACAAGAGATTGTTTGCTGATTGGTGGTGAAAAGCAGGTGACGAAGCGAGTGGACTCGAAGGACGATGGTGAATGGGCGAATTGGAATTGGAGAACAGAAGGAGATTTGATGGAGAATGGAGCTTTCTTTGTGGCTTCTGGTGAAGGAATGAGCTCAATGTACTCTAAAGCTTCAAGTGTTGACCCTAAAGCTGCTTCTCTTGTAGACCAGCTCACTCGAAACGCTGGCGTTTTTGGCGGTCCCAGGTACTACCTTTTTTCCCTTTTTACCCTTCTTTACTTTCTAAATAGATATTTCTCTTAGCCAATTTAAAAATATACTACCACTACTTAATTAGAAAAATCTAAAAAAACTGAAGCATGATCTCTCATTTCGGTGTATAATGTATACTAATTAAATTGGCTGTGAAAGCGCGTGATTAGAGCGCATGATTTGCTATTGTCGTTAAGTCAAAGAACAGATAACTACCGTATTATTTTACTAGTATTTTGGAGTCTAGTTAACTTGTGAGTTGTGATTAGAAAAAGAAAACTCTAAACTGACGAATTTGTAATTTATATTTTTTGGAAAAAAGGGTCTAGTTTAAATTAGCCTACTAAAATGATTAACTAGGTCCTTTCTTGTTTGAGGTTCTTAATCACGTTCTATATTCATTCAATTATTCCTGAAATGGAGATATATAGAACATGAGCTATGGTAAATCTAAAATAATTAGAATCTGAAAAAACAATTAAAGTAACACATCATTATTGGTTTATTTTGAAAAAGTAGCTCATTGAGAATACCAGACGTTAGGGTTTTGGCAGTATTCCAGAATTCAAGTAGAGACGCACGTGATTGTCTGCCTAAGGGAACCGACCAACTTGACTAGTGTCTGAAATTAACCCCACTTGCTATTTTCATATTTCAATTATTTTTTATACTATAGTATTCTTCAAATTTCTAAAATGTCTGTCATAGTGTTAATTAAGACATGCATAATCATGATGCAAACTACATTTTGATACATCAAATGTTATTTATTTGTCCCCTTCTCAATTTATTATACAAAAGCCAACAGTCTTTTTTTGGGCGTAATGATGTCATTATGATGGAAATGTGGAGGTTAAGGAGATTGGGACCCTTACCTAGAAAGATGATTCCTTTTTCTATGGATCCATATTACTTCATAAACAAGTCCTTTTACATTGCATTAGTTGTATCCTTTTACATCGCATTAGTTGTATCCTTTTGACTTTTTTTTTTTTGGCTAGCTTATGATCAAATCTTATAGTAACTTCTAATGAGATGATTTTTGGTGGGGTTTAGGGATGATCAAGGCCAGAGTGGCAATTCTTATTCTCCTTATGGAGGCGACGGCGGAGGAGGGATGGACGATATGGGTGGTATGAGCGGTACAACGAGAGGAAGCAGCAGCAGCGGCGACGACAGCAATGTCTTCCAGATGATATTTGGAAGCGATGCACCGTCTCAGCCGCGATTAACGTTATTGTTTTCTTTGTTAATGATTTCGGTTTTGTCATTATCAACTCTATTTTTGTGGTAGAAGGAATGGATAACAAATAGGATTTGGACCGTTCAATTGATTGGTTTTTGGTGTAAAGTGTGGCTCTCTCTCCATTATTTTCTTTAGTTCGATTGAAAAAAATACAAGAAACTAAAATGGGATTGTCAAGGCAACGTCAAAGACGAACTTTGTCTCATCCAATCAAATGCATTGTTTCATTAATGATGTAACATTTTCATCTTTCTATATAACTCCACTTTTTCTTTCTTTGTCCACTACCTTTTTTTTCTTCTAACGAAAACTATAAGGTTGTGTAGAAATCACATTTTATTATAGCAAAATTTGCCGCATGGAAAATGTGTTATGCTTGTAAAAAAAACATATATTGTCATCATCGTTCTAAGCTTGTAAACACTAAATTCCTATCAAGTTTTGCAGAAGAAGCAATGAACATCACTAAATTTATCTTCTATGACATGATCTCCTCGGCGACGTGTGGATTAATATTCCCGGTCGCCATTTACAAGAGACCAAAAAGAAAGAACAAATAAATAAATAAATTATTAGAGAGTTTCTAAAAACATTACTTTTGAAAAGAAAGATATAGTCGTCAATGGGATTTAGTTAGCAGCTAGAGAAGCAGCTTCTTCAAGTCTCTTCCATGTCAATTCTCTTTGTTCCAGCAACTCGCATGCCTTAGCTTCGTTCTCGAGATGTTGTTTCTCGCACTCCTCAAAGAGCTCAGTGTCCATCTCCAGAAACATTCTTCTAACGTTCTCAGAGAGACCGTGCACCGCTTGGTTCCAATGTCCTTTCATGTTCCTCTCCAATGCTTCAAAGATTATCGGGAAGATCACGTCTTTGTTCTGAGCTATCAGGCCTACGATATGTTCATTGTTCCACAAGAAAAGAGCTCTCTCTGCCACCTGCACTCCTCACATCTCTTATCAACAACTACACTATATAAGCTTCAAAATGTATTTGACTTGATGTATCTATGACTAGCTTTTTTTAAGTACAAAACTCAAAAAGAACGAACCTGGAAGTGTGCGCTATTAAGACATTTCCCAATCTGCGTAAACAGAGGAACAACACATTGCTGAAACTCAGAGGGCTCTGTAGCATCCAAGACTTCTTCCAACTCTCCCAAGAACAGAACCTCCTTTTGACAATTCGTAAGCGGCCAAAATTTCAACAACCCGCGGATGACGGTATCAGCCAATTTGTAATCTTTCTCCACAAACTGTGTCACACAATACGCCAACTGCTGGTGGTAAATCGAGATACCCTTAGACTTGTGGAGTGGCAAAATAGCTTTGACAAGATACAACCGATGCTCCTCTCTCATAGGTACTGTAAATCCATTGATCACACTTCCTAGGATCTCCAATAACTCTCCAATGCCAATGCACCT